CTAACCTCAAGCTCAGCAGTTCGAAACTACCAACTGTTCCACAGGAGAAAGATGAGGCTTTCTGCTCCCGTAAAGATTTACAGCCTCGGAAACCCTGTACAGAGTCGCTGTGAGTTGGAACCATCTCCACGACAGGTAACCACCACCACCATCAATGATAATCAGTTAGTCTATAGACACCCTTGCCAGGCCCCACCCCTAGGCCTTTTCATACAACCATGTGTAAATGTGGCCTTAAGAATTTAATCTCAGTATCAGGAGTGGGAGGGAAGAGAGAATTATTCACTAGCGTGACTGGGAAGGCAGTTACAACAAGAGGGAGGTTGGCAGAGGAAAGATGACGGTAGGAAGAGACACAGGGAGCAGCACAGAGGTAAAGTCAGTGGAGGTAAATAGCGTAGTGGTTACAAATCGGGCTGTGAACCGCAAGGTCAGCAGTTCAAAACTACCAGCTGCTCTGCAGGAGAAAGATGAGGCTTTCTGCTCCCATAAAGATTTATAGCCTCGGAAACCCTGTACAGGGTTGCTATGAGTCAGAACCAACTCCACGGCACCTAACCACCACCATCACTGTTAACGGATGGTATAAGGAGGGGATTGTAATCATTGTAATGAGGCAAAGTACATGATTTGTTGAATGTAAAGCTGATGATCTGCTCTGTAAACCTTCACTCAATTCACAATAAAAAGTCTTGAAAAGGAAAACGATTTATGGAAAAACTATATATATGTGTGTAATCTCAGGAAGCAGAGGAACATGAAAGACAGCAGATACCGAGGTCAGAAGGCCTAGGTGCTGCTCCTTTGCTCGAACGTTCTATGTAACCTTGGACAGGCCCGCTCCCCTCTCTGAGCCTCAGTTTCCTCCAGAGCTTACCACACAACTGGTTTTTTAGAACACTGGCCGAATGAAAACATTAGGTAACATCATCTCAAAGTTTCCTTCCTGACTCAAAAACTTGGTGACTCATGAGGGAATCCGTTGTCATATAAATGATTTAAAAGGTAAGTTGATTACAAAATGTGTTGCCAGTTACAGAAAACCTAACTTCCCCTAAATCTTGGGAAGGAGATCACCCTAGAAACAGCACATGGGAGAGGTGGGCAGGAAGGAGTTGGTTTGAACGGCAAGGTCAGTGGTTCAAGGTCACCAGCTGCTTCTTGGAATCGACTTGACGTCACTTAACAACAACAACAACAATGGGAAGAGATGGTGGAAACATTCAAAATCACCAGTTGAAACAAGGGCAGGGGCAGACTGTGGGACAGACCATCAATTGCTCATATGCAAGTTCATGCTGAAGCTGAAGAAAACTAAAAACAATTCCATGAGAGCCAAAAATGAAGACAGCCCCAATAAGATGAACTGACCGTGACAGCAGCTATGGGACCAAGTGTCACAACAATTGTGAGGATGGCACAGGGCCACGCAGTGTCTGTGTATAGGGGCTCTATGAGTTGGACTCAACTGGACAGCACCTAACAACGACAAAGAATTATAAAAGGCAGGGATGTTGGAAAGGAAGCTGGAATCGATTCAAAGACATGGGAATGTAAGACCTCCTTCTCTTAGGAAGGCTCTCTTCAGTCTAATTCTAGACTGAATTAGACTGGACTCTAATGCTGGACACCATGTGGGCACTATCAGAAAGGCGGATGAGTCCTTCACTGAAAAGCTAAGAGTGGGCTGAAGCCTCCACCAAAAAGCTGGTATTGACCCAACTTGGAGGTGGGTCACCCTACACTTCTTGATGTGTGGTCAGCTTCAGCTCCAGGGAGGTTCCTTCAGGAAAATATGGATGGCTCTTGGGTCCCACTCAGGGCATGGGTGGGAGTGCCTAACCTGGCAGTGTTCACTTGTGTCTCTGGAGAGGCCTCCAGGTCTTGGAAAGGAGATCCAAGTCCATGGGGACACTTTAGGTCTAAAGATTTAGTCTTCTTGGTCCTTACGGATAGTATAATCCTGAGACGTGCTTTCTAGTCTCAGGAGGAGGTGCCACTGAATGACCAGAGGACTCTAGGCCTGCTAGCCAGCCACCAGCACCATGCTCAGGAGATACCGCAAGACCACGTCCACTGTCTAAGCCTGCCACAAGATCCCCAATAGCGCCTTCTAAAGGACTCCCACTGAGCAAAGGCTCCCATTACTATCAAACCAACCTAGTCATTTTGAAAATCATCTCTTACTGCATAGCAGCTGGTGGAATCACAGCAACTAGTTTGAACTCAGCTGCCCTGAAGCTACCAAAGGCAGGTGCCGGCTCGCCTGCCCCTGGAATTCAGATCTGCAGAAACTGCTCTCTCAACAACACTGTCCACTTTCAAGGAGATCTCAGGAGTCTTCAGGCAACGACAATCTCCAGGATCATCTTCCTCCACAGCCCATGACCAAGGGTCACGTACTATCAGTTGTGATTTTCAGAATTGCAGGGAAGAGTCAGGACACCAGATTTGGGAAATGACCCCACAATTAGACTCTGGGTTTCTAAAGTCATAGCCTTCTTGCCAGCTGTCACCTAACCTTTCTGATCTTGACAACATGGCGGACCTGCCCTACCTACTCGCAGGTGTTATGGATTACAGTGTGTCTCCCCTCAAAATGTGTGCTGTAAACGGAAGTTCTATGTTAGTGACTACAAACCCCTGTGAGAATGAGTTGTCTTTGTTATGTCACTGAAGCAGGATGAACGTCTTGAGATTAAACAAGCAGAGACAGAAGGAGCTTCCTTCCAGAACCAGCAGAGAGAGGAAAGCTAGAGCAGGAACCCCTGAACTAGGAGAAAATAAATGTGTTTGTTACAGTCACGCGCTTGTGGTATTTCAGGAACCAAAGCAAAGGTGGTGCCTTTCCAGCCACAAAAAGGTGTCCTCATGCTTGTGTAAACTCTCTGGCATGATGCCTGACGCTTTTGTTATGTTTATGGAATAACTTGAATTACAAGGATTCCAAGAATGCTTGTCCCATCATGACAAAGCACAATACACTATCTTCTAGTAGCTAGAGGTCTTGTACCAATTCTTCTAAACTTCCTCCCCTTGCCCCATCCCAGACTCTGAAGACTGAACTCCAGCTCTGGTTTTTTCTAACAGCTTTGTGGTGGAGTTTTCTCCTTCACCAAGACGACAGTGAGCTTGGGCAACCTCCCTCAGCTGTACGGTGGGTGGGGGTCGTCAGTGAGTGCACACGAAAAGCCCACTTCCATGAGGAGGCCCCCAGCTCCCAGGTTAAAGAGCAAGTTACTCTTCTCTCTCCTTCCTCCCTCCTGCGGACTCTGCCAAGCTCAAACTGGATGATGTGGGCATGCCATATGACTGGGTATCGGTAGATGGGGTGCAGCCTGGACTGTGGTGAAGAGGAAACCCAAATAGGGGAACCAATGACAGCCCTGGGGGAAGGGTTGGTTCTTCTAGGTATTGTAAATAAATATAAGTATCAAAGTCCAGAAAGGTCAGGTGATCTCTTGGAAGCATCTAGGATGTGGACAGATATGGGGGGTGGAGGGACTTTAATTGGACATCTGGTATGTGTAGGGCATTGGTTTAGGCACTGTTGGAAGGATACAGCCAGGCACTATTAAAGGCATGTTCCTTGACCTCCAAGGGCCTACAGTTCCAATGGAGAAACCAGAAGTTGCAGTGGCCAGGAAAATTCCAGAGAACTAGAAAGCTGCTTACTGCTAGAACTCCAGCTATACAAAGAGAACACAGAGTACAAAGCAGCTCAAATTTCAGTGGGAAAACAGATGCGCAAACAGCCAGGGCCCCATTTGGGAAGATCTCTGGCAGAGGTGTGGAGTCCAGGGCTCTCCCTGAAGGAATCTGGTAAGGTCTCCAAGAGGCAGAACAGCATGACGTACCTTAATGAAGTGAGTGGTCCATCTGCAATTGCTTTCCAAACCTTCCAGGTCCTGCCGGTCTCTACTTCTTGAATCTAAGCTCCTAGAAGACTCTAGACTTTGAATCAACAATGCCTCATGACTTTCATGAAATGATATAAAGACAAGTTCTCTAAATCATGGATACTGCATCCAGAAATGTGCCCGAATCTGATTCAGTCTTTATTTTCCCTATTTTTCCTGTATACTTTAATTAACTTCAGGAAGAATCCCATAAAGTTAAAACATCAATAATTAAATTAGAATAACATCTCTCCCCAAATCCTTATTTATGCTTTCAGACTTATGACGCGATCAGCTTACGTGAACTATTTTAGGTTCTCCTTTTTCACCTGGTAAAGACAGTGGGTTACCTGTTGGGCCTCTAGTCTCAAGGTCAGCAATTCAAATCCACCAGTTGCCCCTCAGAAGAAAGACGAAGCCATCTGATTTCAAAAAGATTTATTTTCAGTCTCAGAATTCCTATGGGGTCCTATGAGTTGGAATTAACCAGATGGTGGTGGGTTTTGTTTTGCTCTGTTTTTCTCACCTCACGGTATTTCCTATACACATTCCAGCAACAAATGTGTCATTTTTAATGACTATACCCCATGTCCCATCATGTGTACCCTGTCCTGCATTTTTCAGCCTGTTTCTGCCGGTGACCTCTGTGGCCTTGTGAGGTGATTTGAAAAGATTTGCTTAAGTCCCTTCCAAGTCTTAACATTCAATATGTCTATGTTTCTGTGTTAAAAGAAGTACAGCCACAATGCTGCTTAGAAGCCACAATGGCTAGACTTCATCTCTCATACTTTGGACATATTATCAGGAGAGACTAGTACCTGGAAAAGGACATCATGCTTGGTAAAGTGGAGGGTCAGTGAAAAAGAGGAAGACCCCAACGAGATGGATCGGCACAGTGGCAGCAGCAATGGCATCAAATGTACCAACAAGTAGGAGGCTGGCACAAGTAGTGTTTCGTTATGTTGTGTATAAGATCACTATGAGTTGGTACTGACTCAGCGGGCACATAACAACAGCGGCATAGTTCTCAAGGGGAGACCTGAGGGTGCAGTAAGTGTTGGCTACCAATCAAAAGATGGGTGGTTAGAATACACACTTGTCTCTGCAGGAGAGAAAATGAGCTGTCTGCTTCTGCAAAGGTTGACAGCCTCAGAAACTCTATGGGGCAGTTCTAGTCTGCCCTGTAACGCCGCGTGAAGAGTCAGAATACAGTCATTGCCACTGGGGTTAGTCTGGTTATGTTTTGGGTGCTTCCTGGTGGTGGAGTCCAAACTGTAACCTAAAACAACCACTCCTGTCAGTTAGAACTCACAATGGGGTAGGTGGACCAGGAGGAATAAACCAATAGGAGCCGTGATATCCTTCTTCCAGCAAAAATACCATGTGGAGCCTGGCTAAGGAGCTAAATAAACCTCACCAGCCTCCTGTCTTCATCCTGTTAGGAAATGGGAACCCTAGTTCTAGTGGTCTACTGGTTATGAGTAGGACTGCTAACGTCAAGGTCAGCAGTTCGAAACTACCAGCTGATCCATGAGAGAACGATGAGGCTTTCTGCTTCTGTAAAGATTTACAGCCTCGGAACCCACTCCAGGGCACACCATCATCAACCACCCTTTCACCATAGGCAGCTAGAGCCCTTCAAGTCTCCACCCCCCACCCCCAAGCCTCCCCGTGACAAAGCACTTTTAGGAGTCAGATGCTCAGGACTAGCAGAGTGCTGAGTCATGGTGGGCTGGGCAGCTCTCCTCCCCCAAGGCTACCCTCACTCCCCACTCCCCATCCCCCCCAACACGGGCCCCAACCCCGATGGGCGGGCCGGAAACACTAGAGGTCCCCTCCCGCTGGCTGCTGTCCGCGCCTGGAGGCGGTTGTCTCCGCTCAGTCACGAGACGCCATGGAGGGGGAAGGGTGGGCGGGCTCCTGCTAACAAAGGTCCCCACACTGGGCCATGGGTTTGGAAGAATCTAGAGACTCTGAAATGAGAAAATCACCTTTGCCAGGAGCCTGGAGCCCACCTGAACTCACACACACACACACACACACACACACACACACACACACACACACACACGAGATTTTCTTTCCATGCTCATTCCAGCGCACAAGAAAGCATCATTGTTCTTCCTCATTGTCTGGTGGACTCAAATTGCTGTCCTTATGGCTAACAGCATAACATGTAACTCACTACTCCTTCATGGCTCCTTTCAACAAAAAATAAGCACCAATGTGGTGCTGTGGTAAACACTGGACCGCAAAGTCAGTTAGAACCCAAAAGTCGGTGGTTCAACACCACCAGCCGCTCTTCAGAAACCCTATACAGGGTCACTATGAGTCGGAACCCACTCCGTGGCACTTAGCAATCACACAGAGATGAAGATGACAGAAACTATGCCTTCCCTCCAGGAGCTGAAAGTATACTGTAGCTGGAAGACTATTAAAAAGTCATTATAAAAGGGTGTGATTGGTATGAATGTAATTAGTTGTTAATTAAGCCTTGTGTGTAGCATTTTTTGTCTTCCAGCTGTTGATGTTTGAGTACTGAAATCTGGCATCAGCCCTTCCCTGGTTTCTGACAGACATAAAAGAACGTTGTACCCTCAAAATTGAACAGATCGTCTTTGGAGTGGCGCTGTGTGTTAATGCGCTGCAAAGTCGTTTGAAGCTCAAGGTGAGTGGTTCAAGCTCACCAGTCACTCCTTGGAAACCCTATACAGGGTCGCTATGGGTCAGAATCGACTCGTCGGCCTTCAACAATATGTATCTTCTTCTTACACCTCTTACATCTTTCTCCCACGGAACAGCTGGTAGTTTTGAACTGCTAACTTAGGAGTGACTTAATTCAATGTTTGACCAAATATAGCAGGCTGTATATAAGTTTGTTGGTTTTTGCATGGAATTTATTTTTAAATACAGTGAGTCATTTTTTCCAAATGACCACCATTTGACATCCTTTTCTCTCTCCCCCACAATTTCAAATGATGCTTTATCACATACTGAGTTCCCCAAAATAGCAGGACAGGTTGTTTTGTTGCCTTCATGGAGTTCCTGTGTACCCCACTGCTTGTGTGGCTTCACAATAATTTTTTTTATAACAGAGAGAGCAAATGTAGCCTCATTAAGCCCCGCCCCACCCTCCCGCCAATGCTTATCAACTCTCCTATACACTTACTCTTCCAAATGAACTTTAGAATCATTTTTTTGTTAATTACAAAACACCACTGAGTTTTGCACTGAATTGTCAGGTTTCTTGGGGAGATAACTGGCACCTTTACAAGTGTGAGCACTTCCTTCTGGAAACATAGTATCTCTTCATTGATGGAAGCTGCTTTTTCTGTCCATCAGAAAAGTTTACCTAACTTTTTTTTCATACACCCCTTGTTAACTTTATTCTTTTATTGTCAGTGTCAGTGATTTTTTAGTTCTTCTTTTCATTACATTTTCTAGGTGGTGGTTACGATTACATAGTAAACCTTCGTTGTTGTTGTTTAGTGCCGTCAAGTTGCTTTCGACTCATAGTGAACCTGCATAGGGTTTCCGAGAAGTGGCTGGTGAATTTCGATGGTTATTCTAATCATTTTTCTCTTGATTCCACATAAATTTGCCAAGTAAAACCAATGCAGTGTGGCCCTGATGTTTTAGTTATTGTCTAATGCTTCTGTAACAGAAATACCACAAACAAATTAATTTTGTCATCGTGTAGGAGACTAGACATCCAAACCAGGGTGAAGGGGATGGCTGTTGCTGTATCAGCTCTGGGTAAAGGTCCTTGGTCCTTGTCTCTGGGTTTTTCCTCCTGGGATCTTTATGGGGCTTGGTATCTCTCTCCCTGTCCTCCCACCCCCATCTCTACTTCTCTGGATTGCTTGTTTAACCTCTTTATCTCTCAAAAGAGATGGGACTCAAAATGCATCCTATATTAAATCATGCCTATTTTACCTAATGAAGATCAAAGACCACAGCCTTCAGTATGGATTGCATCTCAATGTAAAGAAAACAAAAATCCTCACCACTGGACCAATAAACAACATTCTTATCAACAGAGAAAAGATTGATGTGGTCAAGGACTTCATTCTTCATGGATCAACTATCAACACTCACGGAAGCAGTAGTCAAGATATCAAACGACATATTGCATTAGGCAAATCTGCTGCACAAGACCTTTATAACGTGTTGAAGAGCAAAGACATCAGCTTGAGGACTAAGGTGCGCCCGACCCAAGCCATTTTTAATAATTTCATATGCATGCAAAAGCTGGACAGCAAATAAGGAAGACCATAGAAGAATTGATGCTTCTGAGTTATGGTGTTGGAGAAGAATATTGAAAGTGCCATGGGCTACCAAAAGAACCAACAGATCTGTGTTAGAAGAAGTGCAGCCAGAGTACTCCTTGGAGGCCAGGATGGCCAAACTTCGTCTCTCATACTTCAGTTCATATTGTCAGGAGGGACGGGTCACTGGAGAAGGATCTCATGTTTGGTAAGGTGGAGGGTCAGAGGAAAAGAGGAAGACCCCCAGCGAGATGGATTGGCAAAGTGGCAGCATCAATGGGCTTAAACATGGCAACAGTTGTGTGGCCCAGGACTGGGCAGTATTTCGTTCTATTGTGCATAGGGTTGCTAGGAGTCAGTACCGACTCAATGGCACCTAACAACAACAATTGACCTAACGAAGAAAGCCCATTCCCAAATGGGATTCTAACCACAAGTATAGAGGTTAGGATTTATGACACATATTTTGGGGAGACAAAATTTAATCTCTAACACCTGGCTAGAAATCCCTTAGCAGCCACAAGTCTCCAGGATAAAGCTGAATCCCTTTTAATAGCACCCAATTCTTCCTGGCCCTGCCCCTATCCCACTCTTTCAGCATTCCCAACTCTTCTTTTCAGGCCAACACTTTCTGCAGGTACTTTGTTGTTGATACGTGACGTGGAGTCAGTTCCGACTCATAGCGACCCCGTACAGGGTTTCCAAGGCTGTAAATCATTATGGGAACAGAAAGCCTCATCGTTCTCCTATGGAACAGGTGGTAGTTTCGAACTGCTGATGTGAGATTAGCAGCATGATTCGTAAGCAGTATGCTACCAGAGCTCCTTAAGATTCCTTTAACAGGCTACATATCTTCACCCTGTTCCCTTTGCTGTTCCCTCCTCCACTCACCTTTCCCACTTTATCCTTAAAAAAACAAAAAACAAAAAAACCAAAAAAAAAGCATTATTGTAAATTGGGTGAAGGTTTACAAAGCAGGTCACCAGTTTTACATTCGGCAAATCCAGCAATGATTGTAATTCCCTCAACATAACATCACTTCCTCCCTGTGTTTTCTGTTTCCATTTCTTCTTTCCCAACCTTTCTGCACTTGGTCCTTGGGTAAATGCTGCCCTTTTGATCTCAGATGATTGACCACTGTATCATGTGTAGATCTCATGAGTGCTGTCCCCCCATTGTTGTTGTTACGTGTCATCAATCTTGTATAGGGTTTCCAAAATGTGGCTGGTGATTTTGAACCGCCAACCTGTGGTTCAAATCAATCTTGCAGTCCAAGGCTTTATCCCACAGCATTACACCAGGTGGTGGTGGTGGTGGTGGTGGTGGTTATGTGCCGTGGAGTCGGTTCTGACTCAAGTGATCCTGTACAGGGTTTCCGAGGCTGTAAACCGTTACGGGAGCAGAAAGCCTCATCTTTCTCCTAAGGAACAGCTGGTAGTTTCGAACTGTTGACCTTAAAGTTCGCAGCCTGATTCGTAACCACTACACTCTGTTGTTGTTGCCAAGTGCTGTCAAGTTGATTCTGACCCATAGCGACCCTGTATAGGGTTTCTGAGTAGCAGCTAGTGAGCTTGAACCGCCGACCTTGCAGTTTAAATGGCTTTGCAGTCTGACACATTAACCCACAGCGCCACACTCCCTATTTGACTAAAAATTGAGGCAGGAGCAAGTTCTGTTCCAGACCTGAAGGGTGATTAAGGGCCATAGTTTCTGTCTGACCAGTAAGCCTGGGTTGTTGTTTGCTTTTTAGAATTTTGAATTTTATTCCACTTTTCCCCCCACTCTAACCAGGACCTTCTACTGTGATCCTTTTGGTCTCAGGGAGTAGAGACTGATGTTCTCATGCTCCTTTAGTCCATGGGACGGATTGCTTCCAAACATCTTCAGTGTTCATCAATCTTCTTTTCTCTAGACAGGCACCCTCCTTTACATTAACATTTCCTTTCAATTCAGCTCAAGCATTATTTTCTTAGGAAACCCTGCCCTGACCTCTTGTCCCAGAGTGGGTAACGCACCCTAATTTGTGTTCTCACAACACACTCCGCTGCCTTTATTGTGGCTCTTAATCCTGCTAAAATTTCTTCCTGAAACGAATGTGTATTTAGAAATAAATACAGTAAAAGACCTACAAAAGAGACACGGTCATAATTCCAAAAGCAACTTGTTTTTGTGACATTCCTTTTTGTAAAATGGGGAACTCTAGCTTCCAGTCCCAAGTTTCCGAGTATCTTGAAAAGGGTGGAGATCGGTACCCTTACAAAAGTGTCAAAGGACCTGGCTTACAATAGTGGACACCCAGACCGGAAGACTGGGAAGCAGCGCAACCCCCCACCCCACCCCCCAGCCCCCCCAGCCCCCCCAGCCCCCCCAGCTAGCTCCAGTTCTGTTTCCCACGAATTCACATCCACCCAGTGTGGGACACAGCTGAGTCATACACAGATCTCAGCTCCTCCAGGGTCCAAGGACAACTGCAGACCGGTGGTTCCTTACAGGGCCTCCCTGGTCTGAGGCTTCCATGATTGGGGCCCACAAAGAAGTCATTTCACAGCCTGGTCTCCATATTCAAGTTGCTCTCCTTTCTTTTCTAAACTATGGGTTTGAAGCTCGACTCCCTGGAGGAAGGCGCTCTGGATCTCCCGGGAGACGCCTCCGCCCCAGCCTCCAGCGTTCGCTGCACAGGGAGCCATATTCGCTCTCTGCCGACAGCGGCAGGGTCGCCAGCAGCCAGGGGGCGGGGACAGACACGAAACTTGCAGTGGCCCCACTCTACCTCCATATTGCTTCCTCCTCGGCTTTGAGGAAGAGAAAGTGTGTCCTTTGCAAACCCAACCCCGAAGTTTCCACCTTTCCAACTTGCAAACATGAGAGCATTACTCCAGGGTGTTGTTAGTGCTTCTGCACTGCGCAGATTTTGAACAACATGCCCTTAGTCCAGGGCCTCGGGGTTCCCATTTGTGATCTGAAAATGGGGCGGGGGTGGGGTTGGGGTCCTTTCCAGCCGGTCAGCGTCCTGAAGTCCAGGGGCTCGATGGTGGGCTAACCGCTACGCCCTGGTCTTCACTCCCACCCCGTCAAAGGCCTCAGAGTTTCCCCGGGTGCTCCCCTCATCCTTGGGGACACCACGGCCATTTCCGGATCCCCTCGGTCACTACGCGCCGTAGCCACCCGAACGACCAGCCCCTCCCCCGGCTCCCCCGGAGCGGGGCCCGCGAGCCCACCGGAAGAGGCGGAGCCCGCGGTGAGGGCGGTGCTGATTGGCTGAGGCGGGCCTGACGCTAGCTCGGGCTATAAAAGCCTGCGGAGCCAGCGTCAGTGCATACGTTCTTCGCAGAGTCGCCGAGGTCTCCTGCTTCAACAGTGCTTGAACGGAACCCGGCGCTCGCCAGCCTCTGTCAACCGGCCGCTCTCCATCACCCTCCACCACCTCCAGCCAGCCGCGCTCTCGGACGCCCTAAGGTCCCCGCCGCCGCTCCAGCACAGCGCCGCCGCGCCTCTCCTCCACCGCCGCCATGACGACCGCGTCCCCCTCGCAGGTGCGCCAGAACTACAATCAGGACTCGGAGGCCGCCATCAACCGCCAGATCAACCTGGAGCTCTACGC